TATAAACTATTTCTTCATAATTATTAGTCAACCTGGGAATAAATGATATTACTTGGGTCAATAAGATAAGTTTCTTTTCTTTTCTTTTCTTTTCTTTTTTTTTTTTTTGACAGAGTGGATAGTGAGAGAGAGAGAGAGAGAGAGAGAAAGGTCTTCCTTTGCCGTTGGTTCACCCTCCAATGGCTGCCACGGCTGGCGCACTGCGGCCAGCGCACCGCGCTGATCCTAAGGCAGGAGCCAGGTGCTTCTCCTGGTCTCCCATGGGGTGCAGGGCCCAAGCACTTGGGCCATCCTCCACTGCACTCCCGGGCCACAGCAGAGAGCTGGCCTGGAAGAGGGGCAACCAGGACAGAATCCGGCGCCCCGACCGGGACTAGAACCCAGTGTGCCGGTGCCGCTAGGTGGAGGATTAGCCTATTGAGCCGCGGCGCCGGCCGATAAGTTTCTTTTTGTAAACTGCTTTTATCGTGACAGTATTTTTTCTTGTAAGTTGGGCTTTAAGCTAAGTTTTGATTATATGGAAACCAATTAATATTTTAAGAAAAGCAGAATTCATTTGATTTTTTTTAAAAAGGTCACAACCTTCATCTTCAGTGTTCAGGCCTGAGACTCTCTTTTCTTGATTTATATATTCTGAATCCTAAAAACTGAAAGCATTGTACACAGATTCCTGCTGAGAAAAAAGCACATACTAATTGAGATGTTAGCAACATGGCTGAAGACAGGGACTTAACACCTGTATGCCCCACAAAAACGTACCCAAACAACGAACAGACAACCTCATTTAGATTGGAGCAACTGAGGCAGAGCTCTGGAGTAGAGCAGAGAAGTAAGAGACCCAGAGGAAAGATGGCCACACAGAGAAGAGAACAAAACACCGCCTCTGTCAACTCTGCCTTCCTGGCCAGGCCTTTTCTCCTGTGGGAAAGGTGAACGGTCCCCCAGGAGCCTCCATTACTACCATGGACACCTACAGTCTTCTGCTGCTAGAGAATCCTACAGTCCTCACAGGCTCCTGGGGCTGTTAAGACACGCCTGGAGCTCACACCGCCATACTCCATCAGAGGTGCCCACATTGTGCCCTCCCGCACCTACAACCTAAGCTGCTGCTTTGTAGAATCACCTTGAACTAGAGCCACTGGTAGTGTATGCCCTGCTTCCGGAGCCATAGCCATTGCACCTATCCTTGAGGCCATGCTGCCATCACACCCTGTTCACACATGACAGACACTATTCACAGCCAAGCTGTTACAGTTCCTTATATGCTAGAAACAACCTGTCTTGGAGGCATTCCACTTTCCACATTCCAGTGACTGCAGGAACCTGAGCCCAACCTCTCAGAGTCTAGTTGCAGCATCTTAGCACATTGAAACAGTCATTCATGAGATCAAGAGCAATTCCTCGCAGAGATCAAGTACGGTTAAACATATGTGAGTCAGTGAGTGAAGTACATGCAAAAACTTAGTCCCTTGTCCTCTGCTAATAATTTGTGAAACAAAAATGCCACTTTCCTTCCATGATAATTATGGAATACTCTATGCTGAAAGGGTGCATTTTAAGTGTACCACTTTACTTAAAGGGTACTAATTTAGTCTACCACCTTATTTAAAGGGTGATGGGGCTGTCCAAACTTGTTTAAAGTCACAGAACCTGGTGGTGGGTAGGTCTAGAACTTTACCTTTTTAAAAGTTCAAAATATTTTTAATTATTTAAAATGGAATACCCTAGAGAAAAAGATAGGTTAAAAAGGTAAGAATAGGGACTGGCAATAGCGGGTAAAGCTGTCACCTGCAGGGCCGGCATCCCATATGGTTGCCGGTTTGAGTCGCGGCTGGTCTACCTCCGATCCAGCTCTCTGCTCTGGCCTGGGAAAGCAGTAGAAGATGGCCCAAGTCCTTGGGCCCCTGCACCCACGTAGGAGACCTGGAAGAAGCTCCTGGCTTCAGATTGGCCCAGTTCTGGCTGTTGCAGCCATTTGGGGAGTGAACTAGTGGATGGAAGACCTCTCTCTTTCTGCCTCTCTTTAACTGTGCCTTTAAAATAAATAAATAAATACATCTTAAAAAAAAAAAAAAGGTAAGAATGTATGTAACCAACTATCTGCTCTTCATCTTTAGTTTCAGATAAAGGAACTCATTCTCTTTAGACATGCCTTTCTCATCCATATCCCTCATTCTGAAACTAGTCAATGCTATTGGCCACCAGGATCTAGGGTGATAATTATAAGAAACATGTCAGATCTGGTTTAAAATTTTAATAAACCACCAAAAATATTAGCAATACACCTCATCAACTTAAAAAATCCATGAACTGGGGTAGATGTTTCGCACAGTGGTTGAGACACAGCTTAGGATGCTTGGATGCAATTCCAGTCCCAAGTGGGTCTCTGATTCCAGCTTCCTGCTAATGCACACCATGGGATTAAGAATTGACAGATCAATTATTCGGGTTCCTGCCAACCATGAGACCCTTATGGAGTTCCATTCTCTTGGCCTGGCTCAGCCCTGTCATTGCAAATATACGGGGAGTGAGCCAGTGGAAGGAAGACCTGTCTCTGCCTTTCAAACAAATAAAAAATAAAATTAAAACATTCACTTTTATTTCACTTCAATTCCACCCAGCATCTCCTTTGTCCTTTCCATCATTTAAAATGGAATCCATAAAACTGTAAACCTTCAAGGGAGCAATTTCATGTTTCAGTTGAACAAAAAAGCTTACAGGAGATGGCACTGTGGCCCAGCCGGTTAGGCTGCTACCTGCAACACTGGCATCCCATATGGGCTCTAGTTCAGGTCCCGGCTGCTCCACTTCTGATCCAGCTCCCTGCTAATGCGCCTGGGAAACCAAAAGAGGAAGCCCAAGTGCTTGGGCCTCCGGAACCAAGTGGGAGACCTGGGTGAAGCTCCTGGCTCCTGACTTTGGCCTGGTCCAGTCCCCAAAATTGCGGCCATCTGGGCAGTGAACTGGCAGATGGAAGATCTCTAACTCTACCTTTCAAATAGACATAAAAAAATAGAGAGAAAAAAAAAAAAAACTCTGCTTTTAACTGTGTACTAACATTGCTGATTACCCTTTGTTTTTGGTACTTTGGTTTACATTTTTATGCTCCCAGATTTTTAACCAGGGCTGGGAACATAAAAAAAAAAAAGTGTACCCCCCCCCCCTTTAAATTCATAAGTTGGAAAGGCCAGAAAAAAAGTAACTAAGCGACCTACAAAAATAGCCACAGGTGATTAAGAACACATTTTATGAGAGGCATGCGGAATAAGTGTCAGCAAAAGCTATTTTCAGGGTAACCTCGTCTCTCTCTCACAAATACTGCAATGAAAACTCAATTGCCGCGGCAACCGACTGTGGTGCAGGTGGGAGAAGCGAACGGAGGCTTTTCATGGGAAAGCAAGGTCGTGGAGCGCTGGCTCACGGCGACCAAACTATGGGAGGAGGAGAAGGCAGGCAGGTCCTCTCGCGGTGTCGTCCAGTACCGACCGACACCTAAGGACGGCTGACTGGGGAAGCGGGCGCACAAGATGAGGCGGGACAGGACACCGCTCTCTCCGCCCCCGGCAGGCTCCGTCGCCTCAGCTTCCCTCCTGCCACCCACGCGGCTTTCCAAGCCCCCGCTAGCTTCCCCGGCGCCTTCGGCGGGGCGACCGGCCGTTGCCGAGGGCTGCGAGGAGAGCCTCGGCGCGCTCCCTCCGAGCGGCCGGGCCGCCGGCGAGCGCCGTCCCTCAGGGGCAGCGGACGAGCGACGAGGCGCCGGGCTCGGCCGGGGATTGCTTCTGCCTGGGGCCCGGCGAGGGCTGCGTTCGTGCCTCGCGCGCACCCGCTCCGCGTCCTCTCAGCCAATCCCGCGTTACTCGCGCGCCCAGCGGCGTTCCGCGGTCCTACTCCGTCCGGGCCGGCTCCTTCCCGCTCCCAGTCCTCGGCAGCCGAGCTCGCACTCCTCCCTGCACTCTCCACGAGGTCCACGCCTCGGGGTGTAGCTCCGCCCCTGTGCCAGAGTCCGCCTCCGCAACCTCCCGAGCGTGTGCTCTCTCTCTCCACCCCACCTCCCTCATTCTCTTGCCACCTCGCCGCCTCGGGTCTCCCGCTCCGCAGAGCGCCCCGGGTCCCCGTGGCCTCGCTCCGCCGCCTCCGCGCGCTCTCCCGGTGCGGCCACCGCGCCCCCCGCGCCGGCTCGCCGCCTCCGGGCCGGACCCGTGGCCGCGCGCCCTGACTCCGCCCCTCCCGCGGACCCGCGCGCTCGCGGCGCGGCCTCTCCCCCACGCAGGCCACTGAGCGCTCCGCCGCCTCCCCCCGCTGGCCCGCTCGCCTCGCGCTCCCCGGGCGCCCTCGGTCTCGCGCTCTCCGAGGCGAGCGCGCTCCCGGCCCGCGCGCTCCGGGCTCCGGCTTCTCCGGGCTCCTGTCAGTGCGGTGACTGCGCTGGGAAACATGGCGTCCGAGGGAATGATCCTCACTAACCACGACCATCAAATCCGCGTCGGAGTCCTCACAGGTAACCGGGGACGGAGGTCCGGGGGACGGCCGCGGCCGCTGTCCGCGACTCGCCTCAGGCTTCTCGCCTGTGATGCCCGGCGCTTGACTGCGGCCTCGGGAGGAGAGGAGGCTTGAGGAGGAGGACCGGGGTGTGTGTGTGTGGGGGGGGGGTGCATCTTACAACCCTTGAGAGCTGCTGGAAGTAGAGGAGAACTCGCGTGTCTCACACGGAGAGCCGGATACGGCCCACTGGGATGACAGGTCTCTACGCCTTAGACTACTAAGTCACCAGTCTCCGGGGACCCATGGGGTCGGAGTTCCGAGCGCTGCGGGGCTCCGAGCTGCTGGTGCGGGCAGCGGGATCCCGGCTCCGCAGTCCTTGCACGCCGCTCGCGGCCGGTCGGGGCGCTTCTTCCGCGGCCGCTCTTGGGGAGAGGGGGGAATCCCATGTCTACCCCCTCCCTCGCTCCCCTCCCCCCCTCCCCCCAGCCTGGGCGGCCCCACGCCGCTCGGGCTGTGCTTACCCCGGGCACCGGCCGGACGAAACTCTGCTCCTCCTCAGGCTGCCCCTGGCGGGCCGGGCATCCCCTCAGTCACCCACGGGACACCCCTCGCCTCCCCCGGGAGCTGGGGACCGGCTCGCGTTCGGACCTCGGGAAGTAGCTGCATTCCGCCTTTCCGAGCCACCGGCCCTCCGCCGCCTGCCTCTCCGACCTGGACGGGCTGCAGCTTGCGGCCACCTGGTCGGGGATCCAGCCGTTCTCACTCGAGAGGGAAGGATTCCCCGAGTCGTGGTGTTTGCTCCCCCTCCCTCCTGGGCACCCCCCGGCGAACGGTCCCGAGGCCGGCGGGGAGCTCACTTTCCCCTCGCTGCGTTGCATTTGGGTGATAGCCCTCGATTCGACGACAGGCAGTTGCTGCAGGGCACGACTTCCAGATGTCGAGCGAGCCGCTTTGGAGGGGGGTGTCTGCTGTGGTCCCGTAGTTGGCAAGGTGTGTGTGTGCTCGAGTGGCGAGGCGGCGGTTAAAGAACTATTTTTGGAATCGAAGGGCTTAGTTTGGAGCGAAGGAAATCCGAGACTCAGAGGTGTGATTTAGGAAAGAAGCGATTGTAGACGGGAATCCTGGTGTCTTCCCCACTTCTTTTTAATTTTTTTTTTCCGCTTGTCAAATTCTGACAGGTTGAGACGGTGCTCGGGAAGGGACGAAATTGAATGAGGCTTGCTTTTATTATTAACTAGAAGAAAAAAAAATCTCCGAGACTGCCAGTAGATACTGAATGCAAAGCTTAATTTAGCTCCTGAGTTTCACGAAAAGGGGAAACCCACCGCCCCCTTTCCTTTCTTTTAAAGTAAACAGATTGCCTCTCCCTGGTATTCTTTCCAGATAGGAATGGCGATTTATTGAATTTTCCTAATCCGAAGCCCCCTTGGATATAGAAACTAGTCCAAACCAGTTGCAGGGAACGGAACCCCTCAAAACCAGAGATGTGCTGCCCCCCCCCCTTTTTTTGGTTCTGAAAGTGTTTCTTGTGGGAATATTCAGTTGTATCACAGAATTCTTACAGTTGACTTTGCTAATTTTCAGATTCTGATCGCCATATGTAAAAGTGAATATATAAGCCTTCAACTTGCACTTTAAATTCTAAACATGGTTTGAAAATGAAAACGTTACTGAGAGTGAAGTTTAATAGAAACCAAAATATGTCAGGAAGGCCATAGATGTTTAAATTTATATCTATCTAAACACACACATAAAACTTATCTTTTTTGTTTATTTAAACTTTCTCTAATAATCTTATTTAATGAATTGTCTTAGCTTGGTCAAGTGACATAATAGGTGTTGTACAGAGTGATCCAAAAGAAATAGCTCTTGTCTAGTATTCTGACAGTTTGTTAGGGATTACATTGATATGCAGATATTTGTAGTTATTCTACATTGTGTTACACATCTGGTGGCTAAATGCAGAAGGAATTCCATATTCGTATGGATTAGGGCAAATGTAACTACTACCTGAAGGGAGAATTTAGTACAATTACTAGGGAGGAAAAGCTGGCATTTTTAATTAAGGGGAGTTGAAAGTCAGCAGCAACACTATAAATAAATAAATATGTGGTTGAGGCTAAAGCTCTTAAGCAGAATAAAAGTGCAATACAAAGGCCTTGAAAAGCCCAGGTGGAATAGGTAGGTGGCAAAGGCAAAATATCAAGGAGAAAATGTAACTTTGGGGTGGAATGAAGACAGTCTCAGCTTGGAGAAGCTATGTCTTGAGAACAAAGGTGCAGCAGTCCAGGGGGCAAATTCTAGAGCTAGGAATAAGGCTTCAGCTGAAGGAATGAAAAGGGAGCTGCAAATTTAGGACAAGGATAGTGGATTTTATTACAAGCAGCTAAATTTCTGTGGTCTTGACATTCTGTATGATTTTGGGGGGAAGCAATGAAGGTGTGTTGTAAAGTGTTCTGCTTTTACTATGTAAATTACTCTTACCTTACTATAACTTGATTTCATTCTTAAGGAAACTTAGTTAAGAGAACACAGTTAACACTGTGCAATTTATGGTAGGGTTTATTTTATAAAATCTCCTTAGCATAGTAGGGCTTATTTTATAAAATCTCCTTAGCATATTTCATAATAGTGATTTTCAGTGTTTTTCTGTTACAAAGGTTGTGGAAACCGTGATCTACCCACACAAACACTTTATAGTGTGTTAGATAATATTTTCATAAAATTGTATTGTTATTTCTAGAGTCCTGATTGACTTCTTTGGGACATTTTGATTACTTGTAGAAAAATAATATTTGCATTTGTACCTTACAAATTTTCATTCTCTATATTTTTGTTATTTTCATTTCAGTTATGAATTTGGTGACTATGATATACAGTCTTCAAATTTCTGATGATGTGCACAAATGTAGTTAATCAAATTATGATAATTAATGTAATGTGGATATTTTAGTTATATTAATTGTTTTTTAGGCAGGAAAATGAGAATATGTACATAAAAAGAGATTGTTGCATGGGAACATTTTATATTGAAGATTTTTCTTGAGATTTATGTATTTATTTGAAAGGCAGAGTTAGAGAGAGGGAGAAAAGAGAGAGATCTTTCACCTGCTGGTTCTTTCCCCAAATGGCTGTCACTGCCAGGGCTGGGCCAAACTGAAGCCAGTAGCCGGGAGGTTTTTTTGGGTCTCCCGCTTGGGTCATAGGGGTCCTCCTATGTCCTCCTCTGTTTTCCTAGGTGAAATAGCAGGGAGTTGGGTTGGAAGCCAAGAAGTTGGGACTCAACTCAGTGTAGATATGAGATGCTGGCATTGCTTAACCCTCTGTGCCACATCGTTGGCCTCTGTGTGGAAGATCATTGTCCATCTTTGAGAACAGTATTTTTATAGTAACTGAGTAACTGTTTTGCATTGATCTTCCAGAAGTGAAGGTTATACGATCTTGGGTGACTTAAGGTCTGTAGTTTAATACTTCTGTTTCTATAGTTTGAAGGTTTTAAAAAAAAACTAGAAATAGATCTACCATATGATCCAGCAGTCCTACTTGTAGATATATATCCAAAGGAGTTGAAATCAGTATGTCAAATGACATATCTGTTTTTTCATAATTTTACAGCACTCTTCACAATAGCCAAGATATGGAATTAACCTAGGTATCCCTTGGTGGATGAATGGATGGATGAAGAAAATGTGCTACATATACACAGTGGAATATTATTCAGCCATAAAAAAGAATAGAATTCTATCCTTTGCAGCAACATGGATAGAATTGGACATCATTTTTTGAAGTGAAATAAGTCAAGCCTAGAAATAAAAATACTGCATGTTCTCACTTCTGTGTGGAAGCTCAAGTTGCTTCTCAAAGAAGTAGACTAGAATAATCGTTACCAGTGCCTAGGAAGGGTGTTGGTGGAGGTGGGAATAGGGGGAGAATGGTTAATGGGTATCAGGATGCAGTTGGATAGGAGGAATAACTTCCAGTGTGCTTCTGTAGCACAGTAGGTTAACTATATTTGACAACAATTACATGGATATATATTTTTTAAACTTTTTTTTTTTTTTTATTTCTTTGAAAGAGTTACAGACAGAGAGGGAGAGACAGAGTTCTTCCATCTGCTGGTTCACTCCCCAAATGGTGGCAACAGCCAGGGCTGGGCCAGGCTGAAGCCAGGAGCCTGGAGCTTCATCCTGGTTTTCCATGTGGGTGCAGGGCCACTATTTTCTGCTGCTTTCCCAGGCATATTGGCAGGGGACTGGATTAGAAGTGGAGCAGCTGGGACTTGAACACAGGTGGCAGCTTAACTCATTATGCCACAAGCTGGCCTCTGCATATTTCCAAAGTATCTAATATAATGGATTTTGAATGCTACTAACACAAAGTAATAATGTTTGACTGAGGTGGTAGATAGGCCAGTTACCCTGTTTTGATCATTACACACTGTATACATGTATTGAAATCCCATACTGTGCTCTATAAATATGAATAATTTATTTGTGTCATTGAAAAATGTATTTAGGGGCTGCTGTTGGGGCACAGCAGGTTAAGCCACTGCTTGCAATGCTTGTATCCCATATTGGAATGCTGGGTTGAGCAGTTCCTCTGCTTCCAGTCAGCTTCCTGCTAATGTGCCTGGGAGAGCAGCAGATGATGACTCAAGTACTTGGGTTCTTGCCTTCCATGTCGGTGACCCTTATAGAGTTCCTGGCACATGGCTTCCACCTGACGTAGCCCTGGATGTTGTGGGCATCCGGAGAGTAAACCACTGGATGGCAGATCTCTCTCTCTTTTTCTGTCACTCTGCCTTTGAAATAAATAAGTAAATCTTTTAAAAATGTATTTTAAAAAACTCAGTAATTTGGAAAGTTTGGAAAAAATTGTTTCTAATGTTCTCTGCTTGTATTACTCTTTATATCAGAGACATAAAATGTGAGAGTGAATAACATGAGGCAAATTAAAATGTATCTGCCACTGCAAAACCAGAAACAAGATGTAGGGCAGATTAGATTTTTTTTAACAGCTTCAGTAGTAATTATACTTATAGTCAGTCTTAACAATTACATAACAGGCTCACTGTATTTCAAATGTGTCACTTTTCACCTACTTTTTCTATTTTGAGAAAAGCTGTTTATCAAGGCAGCATAGTAGTTCTATCACTATTAAAGCTCCACAGAAATAATACCAGGGGGCTGGCATTGTGGCACAGAAGGTTAAGGCACAGCCTGCAATGCCGATATCCCATATGAATACCAGTTCGAGTCCCAGCTGCTCCACTTCTGATTTAGCTCCCTGATAATGCACATTTGAAAGCAGATGGCCCAAGTGTTTGGGTCCCTGTCACCCTCTTGAGAGACCTGGTTGGAATTTCAGGCACCTGATGTTGGTTTGGCCTAATCCCGGCCATTGTGGCCCTTTGGGGAGTGAACCTACTCTTTCTCTGTAACTCTACCTTTCAAACAAAATAAATAAATTTTATAAAAAATTACCAGGAAAATGCTGACTACATGTGAAGATATATAGTGTAGAACAAGATAAATAATTGGGTATTTAATATTCAGTTAGCTAGCCACTACTAATGTTTGGTGCTTAGGTACTTAGTTAAGAATAACAATCTTTTTTTTTTTTTTTTTAAAGATTTATTTATTTATTTGAAAGAGCTACACAGAGAGGCAGAGAGAGAGAGAGAGAGAGAGAGACAGAGGTCTTCCATACGATGGTTCACTCCCCAAATGGCCGTCAATAGCCGGAGATGTGCTGATCCGAAGCCAGGAGTCAGGAGCTTCTTCCAGGTCTCCTATGAGGGTGCAGGGGCCCAAGGACTTGGGCCATCTTTTGCTGCTTTCCCAGGCCACAGCAGAGAACTGGATTGGAAGTGTAGCAGCCGGGACTAGAACTGGCACCCATATGGGATGCCGGCACTGCAGGTGGCAGCTTTACCCGCTACGCCACAGCGCCGGCCCCTAAAAATAATAATCTGTAACCTAAATTTTCACTAACAGCAGCATGAGAAAGAAAAATATTCAAGTTTTTAGGAAAGGGCATTTAAAAAATTTGTATTTTTGTTCTATTTTATTGCATTAAACTGTAAATATGAAATTAATAGGGGAAATTGGAACAAATATAAGACTAGGTAATAGAGGTTGGATAAAAATCTAATTGTAAA